CGGAGCGACACGGAACAGGAAAGGGGGAGGCTGGACGGGGAAGGGCAAGAGACGGAGGCAGGGAAACACGGGGTGAAGGGGGGAAGGCGTCAATGGGGGGAGAGGAACTTCGGAACTCTAAGAGAGAGAGAGAGAGAGAGAGAGAGTGCTACTGAAGGGGGGGAGCGGAGGGAAGGTGCGCAAACACCGGCTCTGCCTCAGGAAACGCGCCCTTCGCGACCGCCCGTGCGCAGCCCAATGAGCACTGCCACTGTGGCAGAACCACCGAAGCGATACCGCGAGCTGTGTCCGTAGAGGTCCCGCCGGGACAGCGGCGACCGCTCCAACGCAACGGTTCTGGAGAAGCCTCGAAACAGGCGGTGAGCAGCTACCAGCATGTCCCCTCTTGGAGCAGGTCTGGGGCTCCAGTCAGGGCGCAATCCGCAGCAACTGGCGAAAAGCGCGCAGACCACGACGTAGCACGCAAACGTTGGAGATGGACTGCACAGTCACGCGCCCATCCAGCCGAAGCATCGGTGTGAGCGCGGCTGCGCTGCTCCCTTGAACGCCACACAGAGTAAAGCAGGCAGAGAGGAGGACAACGACTGAGTTCCCAGGTTTGATCACGGTAAACTCGGCACACCCAAGTCGATGTTTACATTCATCTCGTCTCGACGCATGATTCACACAGTATCATTCGGAACCAGCACGCAAATATTTGTCTGCCCCTTCTGCAACACATACCCTGCATATCGCCCCGAGGTTCGCCCAAAGGGCCCCAAGACCTCCAGAACGGCGCCCACACCGCAATACATACTCTGTGCATATCGCCCTCAAGTTCGCCCAACGGGCCCGAAGACCCCTAGAACGGCGCCCGCATGGCCGCAGGGTGGCCCCAGGTTGTCCCGGACTGGCTCTCGCCTGGGGCCCCACTGCGGTGCCAGGACTGCCCCATGACGGCGCAAGGCCGTCCTGGCGCAGAGGCCAGTGACGCCACTGTGAGCAGAGCACACCTTTATCCGCGCCCACGGCCAGGCGGGCCCCCGGGGGCCGCGACCCCCTGCGCACGGGTCGTCCTGTTCGCGGGGGCCCCGCGCGGAGCGCATCCGTGCCACCGCGCCCCCCCCCGGGCTCGCGCGCCCCGGGAGCCAGCAGACCGGCCGCCGCTCGCGAGCCACCGCGGGCCCGCTCCGCTGGGCCTCGGCGGCGCGGCGCGCGCCCGTGGTGCCCAGGGTGCCCCGCCCGAGGCGAGGGCCGCAGCGCCGCCGCGCCGCGCCCGCCCGAGAAGCGGGGCCCGCGCCCGGGCGGCGCCGCCGCGCCGTGCCGCGCCGCTCGCCCGCGAGATCGCGAGGCGCCGCCGCAGACAACCTGCCGGGATGCGCTCGCCGCTCGACGCGGCCGCTCTGCACGGGCTTTCGCCGCCGCTCGACGCTCCACGCGCCCGCCGCTCGACGCGCCCGCCGCTCGCCGCTCGCCGCTGGACGCGGGCTGAGGGTTTACGTCGCCTTCTTTCTGCGAGGCGCAGGTTTCATCCCGAGGTGCCCGCCGTGCTGCCATTGAAACCCACATGCAGCTCGACTGCCGCATCCAAAGGTGCAGCCCAGACGCTCTGCCTTTCTTTCTCTCTCTCTCTCTCTCTCTTTCTCTCTCTCTCTCTCTCTCTCTATCTCTCTCTCTCTCTCTCTCGCGCGCGATACCCGAGGAAATCGTACATGATCGGGCCCGAAATGGAATGTCTCTGCTTTGGGATCCTTCTGGCATCCCTCATATTCCTCACCTCCGTCCTCTCATCCCTCCTTTCGCCCCTCTTCCCTTCCTCTATACACTGCCGCTTCTCCTGCCGGAACCGTCGTTCCCCCGTTTCTGCTTCACCTTCCGCCGTGCCCTCTCCTCAAGTCATCACCCTCCCCCACCTCCTCCATCACCACCCACACCCCTTGCCAGCTCCTCCTCCTCATCCTCCCTCCTCCTCCTCCTCCTCCTCCTCATCGTCCTCCTCCTCCTCAACATCGGCAATGATAGCATCGCTATGGGCATTGAGAAGATCAGTAAACACAGAAATGACTAGAAGAACAAAAAGGACCAGAAGGAGATCGGAGATGGCGCCCCCATCGGATCAGGGGACGACTTCAGCACGGAGCAGCTGGTCAAGGAGGCCATCAAACGCTTCAGGCGCGACTGGGCGGAGCAGTATCTGGACGAGCAGTTCCTGAAGGACGTGGCGCTGCAGGATGCTGTTGGCGCCTGAATCCTTCTCGCGGTCCACTAGCGTCGACAGCCGCCGGCGTTACGACAAAAATTTGATATGTGTGCTCTACTTCGGGTTCGAGTCTGCGAACTCATTCGTGTTGTGCTTCGCCTTCAGCTATGTCGGGGGGGGGGGGGGCAACGCCAGTCATTCTCTGCGCTGTCAGGGCCCCGTGGGGGGCCCCGAAGGCGTGGCTCGGGCCTCTGGGCCGTCTTGGGGTTTCCCGCGTTTTCGGCCCTTGGTGGGCCCGCTTTGCCCCTTGGTGGGTCCTTGCCCTTTGTGGGCGCCTGGCCGCCCCGCTCGCTTGCTCCGCCTGCGGCTGGTGTTGGATCCCCTCGGCCTTGGGCGGGCGGGGCTCCTCTTCCTCCTACCCCTCCTTCCTCCATCACCACCCACACCCCTTGCCAGCTCCCCCATCTTCCCTCCTCGCCCTCCGCCCCCAGGAGGGAACCTTGGCGCCTGGGCGGGGCGTCGGGGCTCCTGGGGGAACTGAATCCCGTCAAGACGTGGCCTTTGTGGGGGCTGCGCTGCGATAAGACTTGGCTGGTATCCAGTGGTCGCTGGACAGCACTCCTCGGGACCTGGTCCTTGTCTGCCGTACGGTCCCTCTGTGGGTGCCCCCCGGTTGTGCCCGACCAGCCTGTGCCCGACCTACTGAGTAGGCGGGGGAGGCTCTGGGGTGCGGGCCACCTGCCTGCGGGCTGCAGGGGTGGTGCTGGACTCGCCAACTCTCGCACCGCGCGCCCGACGCGGTGGTCGGGGGGGTGCCAGGGCCACCGACCACAGTAAGGTGGGAGGTTCGGGGGGGCGCGCGCGGCGTCGTTACCTGCGTGATGGGAGGGACGCCCGCCACTGCTCGTGTCTGCTGCCGCATACTCCCCCTCCCCAGCCCGTCGTCGCCCCAGGCCTCCGCCGCTCCCGGCGGCCGTATGCGCTCTCTTAGCGCCGAGTGCCACAGCGCCGTTCACTGACCCAGGTGCCCCGGCTTGTCCGACGTTCCCTGCCGACGCACCGTCCCTGTGAATACTTCCATGCTCGGCGATAAGCTTCACAATTTTGCTCACCACCGGCTCAGCGCCGTTGACTGAAGACCCCTTCGACAGAGCACGCCGCACGAGTTCATACCAGCGCCTCACCACCTCATCCTCCTCCGCCATCATCCAGCGAGTCTCTTCGTCCACATGATCCTCTCTTCTCCCCCTCCTCCTCCTCATCTTCCTCCTCCTCCTCCACCTCCTCCACCTCCTCCTCCTCTTACTCCTCCTCATCCTCCTCCCTCTCCTTTGTCCTCCACCTACTACTACCACTACTTTTACTACTACGGCTACTACGACTACTACTACTACTACTACTACTACTACTACTACTACTACTACTACTACTACTACTACTACTACTACTACTACTACTACTACTACTACTACTACTACTACTACTACTACTACTACTACTACTACTACTACTACTACTACTACTACTACTACTACTACTACTACTACTACTACTACTACTACTACTACTACTACTACTACTACTACTACT